CTTTTTTTTTTTTAATGATTATTTATTTTGAGAAAGAGTACATGTGCATGAGAGCAGGAGAGGAGCAGAGGGGGCAGAGAGAGAGAATCTCAAGCAGGCTCCATGCTGTCAGCACAGAGCCCCACACAGGGCTTGATCCCATGAGCCCTGAGATCATAACCTGAGCTAAAATCAAAAGTTAGACACTTAACCAACTGAGCCACCCAGGCACCCCAGTCTAGACATGTCTTAATGTCAACTATTCTATATCAAGTTTTCATTTTTTTTCTGGGATAAACGATATCCTTTTATCTACAATTTCATGTTTTTACTTAGTTCAGGAACATTGTCTTCTATTATATTTTTGCTCAATAACTTTATCCCCTGTGTCTAGAGTTACCTAACAGTCAGGCAGTAAATGCTTCTTCAGTGAAAAAATCTACAAAGTAGCAGCTCTGTTTGCTGACCTGGGTCACTCTTCTGAGTCTCTGGTTGGGAGTTCTCAGAAACTTCATGTCTGCCCAAGGTCCGCCAGAGGTCTGAGGCAGGCCTATGGGGGGCCTGGGGGCCCCCACGGAACCTCGGAACCTCAGCAGAGGAGGCTCAGCGAGGAATGGGTGGGTGCAGTGACGAGGTTGGGAGCCCCCATGATAAGCATGGGGACAGCAGCCAGAGTTGAGTCTACCCTTGGCCCTGCCTCCCACTACCCGTGTGAACTTGGGCCGGTCACCCCTGCCTCAGTTTCCTCATCTCTTGGCATGGCCTACTCAGCTGGGTGGTTGGAAGGATTCGATGAGCAAACGTACATTGTGTAGCATACAGCGCTTCTACTCACCCACTCTTTTGAAGATCCCTAAACCAGAACCTAAGGAGTATTTCTTACTTCCTTCCCTGCCCTGGCTTTGTAGCTTCCTTGTTTGCAGGGCTTCAGTTTATTGTAAGATGCCACAGCACCCACAGGGAGCACGAGTAGGCACCCTACTTGGCAACTCACACCCTGGGTGGTCAGCTGGCATGCTAATCACAGGATGCTCCCACAAACACTTCACCTCTCCATATCTCAATCTACACCAGAGGGTCTGCTATTCCATATCTCAATCTACACCAGAGGGACTGCTATGCAGCATATAGAATGTCAGACATGGATTTTCACTGGTCAAATTATGGCCCATTAATCATATAATGCATGTTCCAAGTGGGCTCTTTTTGGTGAAATCAGATGTATTCAAGACACATAAATTGGAAAGAATATTCCAGACCACCCCCGTTGCCTTAATAGGCCTAAAAATCTAACAAGCTCAGTTAGGGCCAAAGGATTGATTCATAAAATGTTCCAGGGTCAGTCAGCAGGTTGGAGAAGTCTGGGTGCTTGACAGTGTGGTGGGCAGAATAACGACCCCCAAACACATCTGCCTCCTATTCCCCAGAACCTGTGAATTTGTTTAATGACAAGGCAAGAGAGACTGCAGATGTGATTAAGGTAAGGGTCTGGTGTGGAAGATTATCCTGCATCATCCAGGTCAGCCCTATGTATCCGCCAGAGTCCTCGTAAGAGGGAGGCAGGAGGGTCTGAGTCAGAGAGAGAGAGAGAGACCTGAAT